GAGAGATTTGTCCTGACTGTGGGCCAGGCAGGAAAACTCTAGCTACAGGAGACAGAGACAGGAAGATCTGGACTTCTCGACTGCTCAGATCTACCTAGTGAAACCATGCCCCTAAACCCTAAAGTTTGGAGATGTAACTTAGTGAGAGAGGGCTTGCCTCCTTTGCAAAAGATCTCTGATGGGATGGCCAAAGCTAAACAAAACAAAGAAGCAAACTGACAGAGAGAGCCTGGTCTCTGGAGCACAGGATGCCCTGTCTGCAATTCTGTCTTGTATCACTCTGAGACTTCCCTTGCTCTTTCACCCATGCCTTAGACCCTTAGTTTTGAAGAGAACATCTTCCTGCAGCCTGTGTAAGAGGTGCAATCCTATCCCTCTATTGCAGAACCAGTGACACTACATGGATTGTGAGTCACTATTCAGTGTGTCAACACACATTTTATTGAACACATATGGCATGTTCCTGTGTTAGATACCAAAGGTTAAAAAACAGCGTATGAGAACAAAGTCTTTGTCCCTAGTTGAAGTGGTAAATAACATACAAATTCATGTTTAAGATGAAGGAAAGCAAGCCAGGATCATCATAAACACGGTTATCAGAAACCCAAGGGTATTTCCAGATGCTAAACAGGGATGGATTTGCCACCCTTTCCACTTTCTTTGAGAAAAGATAAATCTTTGAGCTCTGTCAGGCAGTGGTGACGCACGCCTTTAATCCCAGCACTCCGGAGGTAAAGGCAGGTGGATCTCTGTGAGTTCAAGGCCAGCCTGGTCTAGTGAACGAGTTCCAGGACATCCAGGGCTACACACAGAGAAACCTTGTCTTGAAAAACCAAAAGAGAGAGGGAGGGAGGGAGGCAGGGAGGGAGGGAGGGAGGGAGGAAGGGAGGGAGGGAGAGAGAGATCTTTGAACTCTCTAAAACCTTATTAAAGTCACAGTCTTCTAATGGTGTGGCTGCTGGTAGTCAGTCATGTTCCGGAGGATGGCCTGGCTTGTACATATGAGCAGCACAGACTGAACTCTATGAGATGCATAACAGCAAATAAAATTTTAAATTAAATTTAAAAAAATCTGAAAAGAAGACATGAAGTTAGAAAGAACGTGAAGGTGGGTATGGATTTGGAAGGAGTTAGGAGAGGAATGGGGGTAGAATATGAGCAAAATAAACTGCACACATGTCTGGACTTCTCCGAGAATTAATAAAAATATTATATGAATAAATAAATACAATTAAAAAGTTCCGTGTTGATAATCTAACCTCAAAAGAGGACAGTAGGACACCTCTAAAGTCTTTGAAAAATACACTTGGGAAAAAAAAATCCTTCAGTTTTAATTTTCCATTATCAATCCTTTATCACAGTTTACAAACTTAGAATTTTGACAAGGAGAGAATATAAAAGATTACAAAATGATGGCCAAATAATTACAGCTACCGAAACATGCTTGATAGCAAAGGAAATCTAGAACGGCGAGATCTGAAGAAACCAGCAAGAAGAGCTGCAATGCTTGAGGAACATGTCAGGGAGGCAGCTGGGCATGTTCGAGGACCATAATCCTGAGGTGACAAAATCCTCTTGGGTGGGGCACTTGTGTGTCAGGTGTATATCTCTTTCCAGACATAATATTTGTACATTTTACAGTGTACATAAAGTGTATTTGTACATTTTGTAGTGTATATAAGGTGATCATTAGATCAAACGGAGTATTATTCAGTCAGAAATGAAGTCCTGCTGTTTACATTAGCACCAGTGAGTGGCAGGTGCTGTTTTAAAACCACGACCTTATTTAAAGTGGGAAGAATCAGAGGCTGAGTCTGAAGGGACTTCAGCGACTGGGAACAGAACTCCTCAGGGCAAAGGCTTTTAGAACTACAGCATTCTTCCTAGACGTCTGCTCTCACCTAGTCCAGGAATTCCGAGACCCATAGAGGTCAGGCTCAGAATCAGGGAAGCTAGCAGATTCTAATCTCTGCTTTAAAGTTCCTAAGGCAAGACGGCTGCGCTCCATTTTCCAGGAAACCTTTCACTGGGCGTGTTGCAAAAGTCATCTTAAACAGAGTGCGGGCTGAGCCACAAGTTCACATTCTAGTACGAACTCAGAGACTTGTACTCCAGCCTCTCTTAGCTGGAAAGCCCGCCCCCCACTGTAACCATAGCAACGGCCGACACCAGAGCGCCGGGCAGCCCGGTTCCGCCCCCTCCCTGACAGAGATTGTTTCCCATCCTCTGTCCACATGGGCGCACTGCCTCACTATTGGTCCGTGGCCCAGGACTGTGCCTTGCCCCCGCCAATAAACTGCCTGTGCACGTGCACTCTGCTGTCCCCCGATTGGTGGAGCTGCCCTGATCACGCACCACCGTCCTGCTCAGCCCGGCGAGGGGCCGCCAATGAAATGACTCAGTGGTCATGCGCAACCAATGGGAAAGCAGCATGTCTCGCCGCGGGCCTATGGGCGCGCGCCGTGGGCGGGCGGGGCCGGCCCCTTTCCAGTCCCGGTGGGGTGTGTTAAAGGGACAGGGCCCCGGTGCGGGTGTTTCACCCGGCTGGGCTCCGCGGCCGTGGTGGCCCTGGGCTTGCGGCCGGCGCCCGTGACAGCAGCGTCGCGGAGCCGGCTACCCCAACCCGGGGCCGCTGCCGACCTCGCTGGCAGAGCCGCATCTCCTGGCGGGATGGGCGGCGATGCGGGAGCCGATGGTCCCCGGGGCCGCGTCAAGAGCCTGGGGCTGGTGTTCGAAGACGAGAGCAAGGGCTGCTACTCCAGCGGGGAGACAGTGGCTGGGCACGTGCTGCTGGAGGCTGCAGAGCCGGTGGCCCTGCGCGGGCTGCGTCTGGAGGCCCAGGGCCGTGCCACCTCTGCCTGGGGCCCGAGCGCGGGGGCCCGGGTCTGCATCGGTGGCGCCGCGCCAGCAGCCTCCTCGGAGGTGGAATACTTGAACCTGCGCTTGAGCCTGCTCGAGGCCCCAGCTGGTGAGCATGAGCATCTCCAAGGGAGGGGGCAGGAGGGGGCGCGCCTCTGGGTGGTGGGTGACGTTGAGGGAAGCTTCTGGAAGGGGGAATCATCTGTACTGTCACGGATGGAGGGCAGGAGGCCAAGCCTGTGCCCCTACCTGGCTTCTAGGAAGAGTCCAGACCCTTGGGGTGGTGTGCCTTTGCACCTGGCCTCCTAGGATCTTCTAGTGACCTGGAGGGGAGTGAGTCGTTGCCGTGGGAACCAGCGATTAGACTGTCTGGGTTCTAGGGTCCTTTCTGACCTGGAGGCAATAGACAGTGGAACCAGAACCTGTGAGGTTCCTTTATGTGGTGCCCAGAGTTTCATGGGCCTCCATGCCTCCGTTCAGGATGATTTGCAGAAAACTCGATCTTGGGGAGAGGGAAGTGGTACTTGGGTAGTTCAAGGGAGGCATTCCCTCTCTGGGGAACCTGTGTCTAAGAGCTGCCCCTTTCTGTACCTCCTCTTCCTCTTGCCTCTCTCCCCTTTCAGAAAGGCCTTTGGAGACAGTGCCATCTGGGGATTTCTGAATTACACCTTCCTGTTCACTCAGAGTTTTCCATAAGTGCCCATGCATATGTATGTTGGGCTAATGCTTGGGACATCAGCTGTTGTTGTTCATCTTGAAAATGCTAGTAACCGTGAGTCAGGCTTCTGACTGACAGTGGAAACTACTCTAAGCCTTTACCTGTGCCTCATCAGCTTGGACCTATCAAATGCGAGCTTAAAACTTAACTCTATCTTAGCCGCCCGTGGAGAAGTGCAATGTCCACAGTTAAGTCCTCAAATGTGTACCACTAACAGGAGCTGCCTTTTGGATAAAGGGGTGTGGCAGGTGGCAGCTCTTACCTTCCTCCGTGTCCTTTCCTCCTTGTGGATTCCAGGAGTCTTTTTCTCCCGGTAATAACGGCCAACTTGAATGTTAAAGATGGCTGACTGGAGGGAAGGCCATGGAAGAGACAGGTAAGCAGGTTTTTGTCCAAGATTCAGACTCTGAGCCCATAACTACTGAGGAAATGGAGACAAAATTCGAAGCATTGAACCTAGGGTGAGAAATGAGCATTACTTTGGTAAAATCTGGGGTAATAGGTTTTTGGATCACAAGTAAGATATTGTAGCTTTGTTCTAAGGAAATGGGATTTCTAACTCTAGACAGTTTCCAGTTTTCTTAGACTATATTAGCAATGGTTATAGTTTACTTAAAGTCAGTGTTTCTTTTAGTTAAGGGGGGAAACCATCACCCCACATGCCTCCCCTTTGGAAGAACGTAGCACCTTCACACATAGGTTCTCAGAGCCATTAACTCTATAAACAAGCTATCCTTCAATGGCCCGAGGAGATTTTTTTTTTTTTCTAAACGTTGACTCCTAGGAAATGTAATATTGAGATCTTTTTTTTTTTTTTTTTGGTTTTTCGAGACAGGGTCTCTCTGTGTAGCTTTGCGCCTTTCCTGGGACTCACTTGGTAGCCCAGGCTGGCCTCGAACTCACAGAGATCCGCCTGTCTCTGCCTCCCAAGTGCTGGGATTAAAGGCGTGCGCCACCACCGCCCGGCTTGAGATCTATTTTTAAAACTCTTTCCAGAATATTCTCTAAAATTAATATTCTTACTGAACTACTTACTGTCAGCATGGCTGAACTGCTTCGTGTCTTTAAGACCCGATTGTGATAAAGACCCAGGGACCGAAGTGGAGAGCTAGCTTCAGTTCACAGGCACCCACCAGAGTGTGACCGCATACCGGGCCCTCACTTGCCCGCTGCAACATCTCTAGACCCCAAGGCTTCTGAAACACTTCCTTTAGGAGCTCTGACGAGAAGCCCTCCAGTGAATGCAGCTGCTCCCTATGGCACTGAGTCCTCAGAGGACAAGGTAGAAGTAAGGAGCCAGAAAAGAGAAGCAGAAATGGCCGCACTGGACATCTTGTGAATGCTTTTAACTAAACATAAGGATTGAGAAGAGAAGGAAGCACATTTTTCCAGATCCTCCAGTGATTATCTACTTCCTCGAGTTGATTTTCTCCTGTGGAGTTCTGTCATTCCTGTGTGGACCTGTTTCCTGAGGAGCCCATTCGTGTCTCTTGTCACTTTGTGATATGCTGGGCAACTCTCTTCTCCACATACCTGTCCTGCCTCCTCGTGATGTTCCCTTTATTTAAACCCTCCACACTCATCTGTGCTGGGATCCTCAGACTCCAGGCCCAGTGTTGTTCGTGTGAGAAGTCGTGGGATTTTAGCACTCTCTAGTCTTCTTGAGTACAGATCTCGCATCTCCTTTCCCCCAGCTGGTCTTCTGAGGACTGAAGGGACCGGTCCTTCTATCACCTGAGCCTAAGTCCAGTAAACGTTGGATTCACATGCAATCCACATTTCTAAACAAGTGCATGTACTTTGCCGTGTATAACCTAGTGGTCACAAATCAGACCCCATCTCAGCTCTGTTCCCCTGAGCCTCTTGGAGAAGATGGGGTACAGGAGTGGCCCTTGATTGCAGTCCTGTTGCTCTTCTGGGACCCTCCTGATGCTTGTGTGACCACTCCTGCGTGTTGGGAACCTCTTGGGCTCACACTGTGTCACACTACTTTATGGACCCTGTGTCCTGACTTGTCCCTGTTCCTTTACTTTCAAGTCACCTACCTGCGATGTCTTTCTATGTGAAATGGATCCATGTTCCTTCTTTCCCCTTAATGTAGTACATACTGAAAACCAGAGATAGATTTAGGGCACTCATTGGACCAGGAATGTATTTTTATTTTCTAAAAGTGCAGGATTGAAATACCGAGTAATACAGGTAATTAAGTAAACCAAAGAAACCCACCTCATTAATGGTTTTGACCACATGAAGCAGAAATATCAAGTCAGGTAACAAACCAAATTCCACACCAAGTTGTCTACCATCCTTTTTCACCTTACTTCCTTCACCCACAATGTAGCCTCAAGTCTGAGATCAAAGGGAAAATCGGTCACGTGCCGTAGGGAGCCATTGACCAGAGTGGAAGCCACAGGATCCACTTTGGATCCACGTAAAACAGACTGACTATGGACATTCATCACAGGTGCTGGTGGTCCCTCTAGTCTCACACCATCCATCCCTGTACTTTGGCGTTTGCTCGTAACAAGCCTGTGCGTGGTTGACTGACGTTAACAAGAACGGGATGGGGCCACGCCATGCTTGGAAAATCCTGCTTTCACCACTGAGAAACCCTGTTAATCCCAGGAGAGCTAAAGGGTGAAGAGCTGACTCTGGCTGCTTTGGCTGTCTTCTGTGTAACTATTACTAATGCTGTCCCAGGTTTTCCATCTCAGTCTAAAGAATACACAGTATGATTATTTTAGTACAGACAAAGAAATGTAACTTGTCAATTAAATATTGTCAGTTAAATATTGATGTCTCATGTTAGCATAGAGTAACATCTAGGTGTGTGCATAGGTGTGTGCGTGCGTGTGTGTGTGTGTGTGTGTGTGTGTGTGTGTGTGTGTGTGTGTACACATATATGAATATGCACTACATGTGTGTTTATTTACATATACTGTATATGTATGTTGGAACTCTTGGCCCTAGGTAGCACTCTACGGTAATTATATAATTGATCATTTTGTGGGGTGTGTGTGTGTGTGTGTGTGTGTGTGTGTGTGTGTGTGTGTGTGTTTCTTCGTAAAAGACAAATTCAAATTTAGTTCTCTCCATCTGTTTTAAGAACTTGTGGAGTGTACTGCACAAAAAAATACATGGCTTAGATTGTGAAAACTCCTGATTTGAAGCTGATCTTCGTTAAAATCCACTGTGGTCTCTTTCAGGTGAAGGCCTCACTTTGTTGCAACCTGGAAAACACGAGTTTCCCTTTCGCTTTCAACTTCCATCTGAGTGAGTGGAGCCTTAAGTTGTCTGTTTCCCTCCCTTACCTTGTGTCCTGTATTCGAGCACCCAGTGTCCCCAACACTAAATGCCCTTGCTAACCCTGTGGGGCCCTCCCTGTACTCCCACGCTGACTCTTGGTTTTTCAACCTTCATCCACAGTTTCAAGCGTGCTTTTCCTGACTCTGTCTGGCTGAAAATAAGCTCATAAATCGATATCTTTGGTTTCTTTCAGACCGTTGGCAACGTCGTTTACTGGGAAGTATGGCAGTATTCAGTATTGTGTGAGGGCTGTTTTGGAACGACCCCAAGTACCAGACCAGAGTATAAGAAGAGAGCTCCAGGTTGTCAGTCACGTGGATGTCAACACTCCACCCTTATTGGTAAGCTCTCCCTTGCTCTGTCCCTCCTTCCTTTCAGTAGTGATGTCTGTATTTTGTCAGGGTAATGGTGAGCTACACTGTCGCTGTCTGCTGGTTCCGAAAACACAATGTAACCCATAGGCGTTCACTATAAAGATATGATTCTAGGTTGGGCAAATTACAAATTGTGTGTGGTAATACTATTGATTATGTCCCTGCTGTTCAGGGCTGCTCTTGCCAAAAAGTTACACAGGCTTGAAATGCATTAATAAGCCTTAATAACAATAATGCACAGCAGAGAAGGGTTACTTTTACCAGCCCGGCCACATTCGCAGGGCTGTGGCATTCTGAATTCGCCAATAATAGCAGGTTGAGGAACGGTAATTACGAAAGAGTATTAATCACACTCAGCCTGTTATTGAAGCCCAGGCCATTATGCTATGTATCCTTCCATTTTGCATGTCATTTTCTAGCATTAAGTAAGTGTGTGCAGCTGCCACCACCACGAGCCTTTCACTTATCATTTCCTTATGACAGATTTGGCCACATTAAGGCATTGAACTTCTAATAATCATCAGAAATACTGTAGGCTGGGAAGAAGGATCAGGCTATAAGGAACAACAGAATAGGCAAGATGGGAGCTAATGAGCTACATTCTTTTATCTGCACCCATATTATCAAAATAATATAAAATTATACCTTCGATTTTCATGAAAGCTGATAGGACCAAATGGGTCTTCATTTAAATATGAATGAATGGTGTTATTTTTTACTTCATAGATAATACAGAGATAATCTAAACTTCCCATCTTGACACTGATGTGGCAAAGATGTGTTTTTAGTATTGGATGCTTCTTTTTCTAGCTAATATTTTTAAAGACAAGGGGAAAGCCAGCAGCTAAAAGTTTTTTAGTTCTTATTCTCACAGGAAGTAGAATAAATGTTCCCCCTTGAGATAACAGATGACAGACACACCATGCTTGAACCGCACTGCCCTGGGGCACGCCCTCTTG